CTCGGCGAGATACGTTGAAGCACTCACGGGATCGTCAAAGTCGGCATTGGGAAAGTAATGCCGGATGAGGGAAAGGAGCAATGGGACATTCTTTTCTGGTGCGTAGAGCACGGCATTGGGTCCCGCATCGAACGTGTAGGCCGCGATTGCTCCAGCTCCAGCTGCAGCTTGCTCGCTGCTCCTGTTGAGCTCCTCGACGAGCTGAATTACGAGCCTGCTGGTATCGTTGAGATAGAAGATGGGAGGAGAGGTATCGAGGCACGTAGCGTGGAAATTGTTGGAATCCCTCATCGTCTCTTTTGCAAAAGCATCGAAATCCCTTTGCTTGATCGCGCTAGTGATTCTCTGCATCCTCTCTGGCACGACGTGAGAGATGCGGGATTGCAGAGCGGCAGAAGTCTGAACGGTTCTCTGCATACCTGCAGTGGAAGGCGTGCCCTTTTTGGCATCGCTGATAACGCAAATGATGGCGTGCAAATCCTTCCAATGTTGCCTCTCCGCCACTTGAAGCGCCAAGCTGTCCGATCCATCCTTTGCCTCACCTCCTTGCCAAGCTACAAACCCACCGAATAGGGACCTGCACGCCGATCCGCTTCCTTGACGCGCGACACGAGAAAGCGCAGATGTGGAAAGATGCCCGCCTGAATCGCTGTTGAGTTGGTAGAGCGAAGAGATGGACCAGACCAGGGCTGCGAAGCCCGAGGCGGATGATGCTAGACCCGCAGCCGTTGGAAAGTTGTTCTCGCTGACAATGTGTAGCGGCAAGTGGGCGATCTGCGCATCGCATCGCAGTGCGGTGCGGTGCGCGGTGTGCCTTGTCAGCCCGCTCGGATCACTCCACGCCGATCCTTCTGAGCGCATGTATGCTCCCCCTGCTTCACCGCAATTTCGACCGCACGCGCTCACCTTTTCCACGCCACCATCCTCGCCCTCCACCTTTCGCCTGGCGTCTCGTAGCTGGTCGATGCAGGTGCGCAATCTGCCCTCGCTTCCAATCTCCTCCTCCACACCATTCAACCAAAGCCTGTCCTTGCTTGGTGATGCTGCTACTGATTCGCCCTGCTGCTGCTCCTGCTCCTGCTGCTCCACCTCGACAGCAGCGCTGCTAGTCAAGCTCCTTAGATGATCCTGATCCAGCGTGACGCTGAGACTGTCGTTGGTGGGCAGGATCAGCTTTGTGTCCTTCTTTCCCCAATACTTGACCACTGCGATGTTGACAGGCGCAGAAGCTGTCGCGATGCGCTTGATCCTTGCCATGGTGTGCGTTGGGGGGAGGGGGGTGTGAGGTAGGGGTGATGGAGTGGGAAGTGGCAGCAGAAGCGTGCGTGTTGTGCGAGTGGTGAGTGTGAGTGAGTGCAGTGCAGTGATGATGGATGGCACGATGCAATCTCAGAATCACAGTCACAGTTCGCAATGATCCTCTAATTGCTGCTCTGCTCTCATCTCGTCGCGCGCGCGCGCTAACCAAAGCTCTTGGGCGCCGTCTGGTCGTGCGTGTTGCACTCTGACTGTGCGCGCGCATGCCAATTTGAATCGTGAAGCTTGAATCAGCTGTACTGTATGGATGCGAATCGCGACTTCTTCCAACGCGCAATCACGCCACGCCACGTGGCTTGGCGTACATTGTCGCTCAAATCTGAATTTGAATGCTGTGAATAAATCAAAATTGCCGCCAATGAATCAAGAATCGTGAATTGGGCGTGCGACGTGACGTGACGCTTCTGCTGCATGCGACTCACGGCTTTTGCGTGATTGACTCCATAGGATTGTGATTACTGCGCACGGGCCTCGGCCGTGTGTGAATAGTTGTGATGCTTGATGGAGACAAAAGTTCGTGAGTGAGCGGGCGGGTTGCGTGCGCATTTGCGGGGGCCTTTTGGGGCGGCCATGGATGGCATCGGCATCAGCACGAATTCATTGATTCACATTCTTATGCCAGCAAAGGATGCGAGTGACGAGTGTGAGATGTTTGCCATCAAATCCCTTCCATCATCGCCACCATCCACCGCCACAAAGGCATTTTCCCTGCCCAGCTTCTCCAACACGCTACGCAATGACGCCCGCTCCGACTGCGTCGACAGCAGATGGAAGAGAGCACACCAACGATGCACCGCCTCGTGCGTCAACATCCACATTCGCACCCGCATCCGCATCGGGCTCATCTTCCGCCCTCCCAGCACATCCCACGCTTGCACCCCCTCTCCCAGGTATCATACCACCCGGTACTCGCTTTACGCAATCCTTGCACGAACATTTGATCTACTTGGACAGGCAGAGCAATACGTGGAGGTGCGAAGCGGGCGAGGAGAATGCTAGGCAAGGAATACTCGAGCTGGAATGGAGGAGCGCTACGGTACTCCCCTCCGCGGGCTCCTCCTCCTCCTCCTCTGTTTCCGCATCCGAAAGGCAAGAGGAACAGAGCGATGAGTTGTCGACAACGAGTCGCAGAGAGGGTCACGGGAGATGGGTGCCTGTACTGGATGAGGAGGTGCTGAGGCAACAACAAGCGGCGTATGGAGTTGCGGGCGTCGATGAGGAGGTGAGCGGCTGGGCTGGGCTGGGCCGTTCAAGGTCTAGCCCTGGCGAGATGGGAAGAAAGTAATGCTCAGCTTACAGTCTCTTGGGCATCATCCTACGCTATGCTATTCGCAGACGCCAGCTGCACCCATCGCGCGACGCTTGGCGAAACGCGGTGCCAATGCGGATCAAGGCGATGCAGCCGATGGAGAATCGTCGCGAGTTGGCAAAGCTCGCAAGGTAGGGGAAGCGAAAGGGAAAGGGAAAGCGCAAGCGAAGGCGCCGCGCGCAGTGACCGCCGTGTACGTCACGGGTCTACCTCTCGACACGAGCGTTTCGGAGATTGCTCAAGTGTTTGGCAGGTACGGCGTGCTTTCGGAGGACAATGAAGGGAATGCGAGGATCAAACTGTACACTACGGATCAAGGCGCACAAAAGGGCGAAGCGCTGGTCAGCTATTTCAAAGCCGAGAGCGTAGAGTTGGCCATTCGGGTGCTGGACGAGAGCTGTCTTCGTGCAGCGCAAGGAAAGACGAGCCCAGTGATGAGCGTGCAAAAGGCAGAATTTGGTAATGCGGAGGTGAGCGGAACAGCAGGGGAGGCAGGTGTTGCTGCCGCTGCTGCTGCTGCTGCTGCTGCTGCGAAGGAAGAAGCCTCAACAGACAAGCCTGCCAAGAAGCCTGTGCGGTCCGAAGCGGAGAAGAAGCAAGCGGCGAAACGATACGCCAAACTCAATGGGTGAGTAGTGGTGGGCTAGGGTTGCACACGGTAGCGGGACTGTGCGACGACTTGCTGATGCAAGCCGACGATTTCTTGCCGACTCTTTCTGCTCCCTCGACACTGAAATCCCCAGCAAACTCACGGATTGGGATTCTGATGAGGACGATTTTGGACCAAAAGGAGCTCAAGAAAGGCCAAGCGGTGCAAGTTCATCAACTCAAAGTCGCATCGTCATTCTCTTGCGCATGTTTACGCTGGCCGAGTTGGACGAGGATCCGACGTTGCTGTTGGATCTGAAGGAAGATGTTAGGGAAGAGTGCGAGACGATCGGCAAGGTCACCAATTGCGTGCTGTACGATGTGAGTGAGGCAGAAGGGTGCATGAGGCTTGCAAATATAGCCCTAGATTCCCGTCGCACCGTGCTTACTTTCTTCACTTGCTGCTGCCCTCGCAGAAAGAGCCTGAAGGCATCATGAGCGTCAAATTTGCGACGCCAGCAGCCGCGGTAGCATGCGTACAGGTGTGTATAACCCAAAAAGGGGGACTTTAACGAGGCCCGCTGCAAAATCTGCCTCGCTCACACATGCAACCCCTCGACACCCCTTTCTACACGGGCGGGCAGAAGATGGACGGCCGATTCTTTAGCGGTCGCACAGTCATTGCCTACTTGGCCGATTCCAAGCCTAAATTCCGCAGATCGGGAGTTGGAGAGGGTAGCGATGAGGAGGAGGAGGAGGAGGGAAGACGTGCGGATGCGTTTGGAGAGTGGTTGGATCAGGGAGGTGGATGAAGCGCAAGACGCCGGTCATTCTTCCTCTCTCTCTCTCTCTCTCTCTCTTTGAAGATCTTCGCAAGAGAGCCATGAAGCAAGGCAAGTGCATGCACGGGGTGCGGCCACTTGACTGTCAAAGCTGCGCCTCAGAAGCTTGGTGTCGCAGTAGGCGTCTGGCCAATGGGGCCGCTCCTACGGAACTACACAGGTCTGTGCGTCTGGCGGATGAAAGCCTGAGCCTAATGTGCATCTCGATAGATCAGACTGTAGATGAAACCTGCTTGAGCCGTGTTCGACCGACTACGCTGTGGTTGCGAATGGGGGCGGGAAAATTTCGCGGGTTGACGAATGTGATGAAGGAGGAGGGGGGGTTTGCCAGTAGGAGCTGATTGATGCCCCGCATTTGAACGGTGGAAAGATGCATCATCGAGCGTCGGAAGCGGAGGGAACAAGCCACCAGGCGAGGGCTGTCCAGACTTGAAGCACGGCCAAGAATAGCAGAGCAATGGGCAGAGAGAGCGGGTGTTCGCTCACTTCGTCGTCGTCGTCGTGTTGTCTAAAGGCACGCAGGAACTCTAGCAGGGTCTGAGCAAGCGCAGCTCCGAGCAACAAGCAGAGGACAGAAGTGACCCTCTGACGCCCAGCATTGGCCAAGAGGGGAAAAGTGGGATCGGCAAAGATCTGAGTCAGGGTCGCTGCAAAAAGGGTTTATTCAAGAGGGGCGTGGGGGCGGGGGGGAAGGGGATGT